GGGCCGTTTTAATCAAATTCTGGTTTATTTTCTCCCCTCGGTGTGCTTTGTTTGAACATGTGTAAAACACGAATAAAAATTCGGTGCGTCAAATGTAGATGTAAGGCTGGCGAGGGAGTTGGCGAAGTCGGCTAAGTCACTCACAAAAATTGATCGAGACCAAAATTTCCGTCTTGAAACTATAATTATAATTGGCTGTCGCGTGTTTACGCCACAGACATTCTGTTGCAAACTCACGCATTCAATCAGGGACTTACCTGACAGTGAGGAAATTAAGAAAGAAAAACGATCCCCGAGGTTTGATGTGGCTTTAAATTACACAAGTAATTGATGGAGTAATCGATTAAAAAGATTTGTTCGCGACAGCCCGATTTCAAAGACATTTATTCACACTTGACAGGGACTCCAGTCGGAATGCTACATGGACCAGCGTTAAAATGATCCTCGTGTCTTTTATTTCCAGCCTCTGGTCTGATGACAAACAGCCTAAAATTCTATTCACCTTTAATAATTCATTTGGATTGCTCCAGTGGAGGCGACCCTCCGGATGGCCGAGGGCGAAGGCGGAATGACTCGAAACGTATGTTGCAAGGATATTCAGTGTTGTGACGACGACCATAGGGGCCTGCCCGCATAAGAAGGCCTTTGTTGGAAAAAGTCAACGTGCTGTCGTCACAGCTTTGATTGCAAAAGAGCCCTGCGATAAGGTTGCAATAACAGCCTGAGCCTCATAGCTTCATGCCCCGTCTTTCACTCCCTTTATCAAATAGTGTAGAAACCGCCGCATTTTCTTCAGCTTGACACATTTGTTGGTTCTTTCGTCATTCTGTTGGCACCGTGATTAAAAAAAAAAAAAAAAAAAAACAGCTGATTGTCACAAAGCATTCCTCAAGGGTGAAGGGTTGGACTCGGAGTAGTAACATGCTAACTCCGCATTTCCGTGTTTAAGCCATGAGGGTCCAAATATTTTTTTTGTACCGCTAAGTGAGTGCTGATGAGCGAGTTTGACTGCAGGCTTGCCCACTTGTTTTCGGTGTATCAATTGCCAAAAGACCCCACATGACCCCTCCACCCCCACCCCACCCACCCTTGTAGTTAGACTGTGTTGCGCCTGTTGACCTTTAATTAGCCAACCTGCATCTGCAGAGCCAACTGCATGCCCGAACCCTGGCGCGGTGGAGGCGGGTCCATTGATGGCAACACATCAGATACAAGCATGAATAAAACATCCATGTTTCTCCCTTTAATGAAGTCTCGCCCACCGGGTGCGATGTTCAAAAATTTATGGAGTTGCCTGAGAAGTTTGCCAGCTAGCAGGAATAATTTACAATTCCTCAAAAGCCAGCGAACGTCGGCGGACTTTTAGTCTGAGGTGGAAGGGCCACGGGGATTTTGGTCCGTATTTACACCGATGTTTTGGGTATTGGTATGCCAAGAAATAAGTGCTTGCATGGAATTTAGAAGAAGAAAAGTGAGCATCCAACTACATTACATTTTTAACAAATATAATTTCAAATTAAATCTACTGCAGTGGATCGAAAACAATAAAACTGAGCCACTGTAATATGCACACTTTTAACATTAAGAATCACACTTTTTGGTGATTCTTTTGCATACCACTAGAGGGAGCCCACATACCCCCAGTGGCACATGAAGCACACTTTGAAAATCATTGAGTTGGGATCGGCTCCAGCACGACCGCATCTCTCGTGAGGATGAGCGGCTCGGCTAATGGATGGATAATTTAGAGAATCATTGTCATCGAAAAGTGAACAGTAAAAGTCGCCAAATAAATTTGAGGCAGCAAAATCCAGCATAACCGTCACTGTCACGATGCACCACTGAATGGTTGTCAGCTAATGTCCTGGCCCGATAAAAAGGATGAATGAAAGAAACCACTTTTTAGTGTTTGTTCCATTTCTCGTTTTTTTTTTTTGAAAACCTTTTTTCACTGGATGGCGACGACATGCAAATCTGAGTGGTCCACACCTGAAGGGCGTCTCCCCTCCCACCCCTTGAACATCAATCAGCAGTTTGTAGGGTTGTGACCGGCAGCTGTGCGGTGCTGCATGAAAGAGAAGATGATTGCATAAAGAGCTTCCTTTGAGGAGATTTCTCGCACTTCCTTATCTTTCTTCTGCCAAAGAATAAAGAAAAGTGAACTTGCTCACGGCTGCAGACTGTCACCACGAGAACAGACTGCGAGGAGATTTGTGCCACATTGTGCTCCTGAAAGCCCGTACCCCCTCGCTATGACAAGGACCCCTCGTCTCTCTCCTCCGTGTGTGTGTGTGTGTGTGTGTGTGTGTGTGTGTGTGTGTGTGTGTGTGTGTGTGTGTGTGTGTTCTTTCTTTGATGTCAGATAGTGCACTTTGTCCACCAGGTGTTCAACAGCACACCAGCCCCGTGCATAAAGAACTCCTCCTGCTTCTCAGGCGCACTTTTATGCTAGCTCTTTGCACCATCTGAGAGAGCCTCTCTGGATACATTTACTCAGCGACACTCTGACGCACAAGTCGGGCTCCCAAGTAAGAGGATCTCCTGAAAAGTGTGAATAAATTGCAATTGAAGCGAGAATATAGCACATGTTTGAATATGAATCAACTGAAGTGTTCTTTAATTAATACAGAGCATGACATCACATGAACCTCAGTTGAGAGATATTTTTTGTTTTGTTGTTTTTTTTTTCCTCTGCTCCTAAATTCTGTAATCTTTCCGTCTTGTGACTCCGCACTGACTCCACTTTTGCCTGGTTGCCTTCTTGTCGGAAAGACAAGAGGAAGGTTTTAAGAAGATGCTAAACTTAGAACGCGACAGAGACGTGACGCAGCGGCACTCTGCGGATACTGGAGCTCGGAGAACCGTTATTACGGGAAATGTTTATTATCTCACAAGTGTCTTGGCTCATTTCATGGCTCGCCAGCCACGTGAAGGATTAGAAGGAGCTTGTGTCTGAGGTGACTTGGGCCTCTTATCAGCGGCAGGGGTGCAGATCGACCACAGGCCTAAGCTGACAGCCTTAATCAAACCAGGAAGCCAATAATGGTGACCATTCTGTTTAGCATCCCGGGGAATTGTCTGCGTGAATGAGCCACCGTGTGCGTACGGACGTTCCCTTTAAGTAGCTCTCACCAAAGTCTGTTATTTCTATCTCATTTGTTTTGCAGCCTGATTGTGCAAGCCGCACATTATTTAGCACTGTAGAAGAACCGAAAAAAGAGATGGTCACGTCCTTGTATTCATTTGTCGCTCTTTTTTTGCTTGAGTTAGTTTCAAGCATTACGCAGCAACAACATAATTTGGAAGTTTGTGTTTTGTCGAAAATAGTCGTCACTCCATGCGCATGGATATACATTGACAAATGTATGCGGAAGTTTTGCAGTAGCGCAAATAATCAACAGTTACCGATTTTGCTCGAGAGTTCTTAATGTTGGACTTTTCACCTGTGGTTCCCTTCAATGTCTGCTGTGAAAGGCTGCATTGTGCGTTTGGTGGCGTGGGTTATCTTGTGCGCTGATAAGCGGTCAGACTGCAGGCCCGATCCTGTCAGCGCACTCAAATAATCGTGAGTTCTTTTTCTCTTTTTTTTTTTCTTTTTTTTAAATGAATCAGCTTGGCCTCAGACAAGGCATATAAAGAATGCCCCCCCACACACACACACACACACTCACACACTGGCGGGACTTTTGGTTGTCAGGGTCCACAGATCATGGCTCATGTGTATTTGTGCTGTAGTCCGTGCCACCATAAAGGCACAACAGGAATAGATAAGAACCAGACCCGGCCGGGTTGGCTCTGGAAGCCAAATCCCCGGCAACCCCCTGGCGCTAATCGGATTAGCCAAAAAGTTTAAGCGACGCGGCCCCAAAGAGCAACAACATTTTTTACACTGACTTCTGTGACATATTTTGCCCCGCGGCATGCGTAATCTGTTCCTCAAAGGCGCCTTGTCATTTTTTTTGTCTAACGAAACAACAACTTCAGCGCAGCATGAACTGATGTTCACCTCTTGTGCTGCAGTTTGTATGCGTGTGTGTGTGTGGGAGAGAGAGAGAGAGAGAGAGAGAGAGAGAGAGAGAGCGAAGGGATGCGGTTCACCCAGGTGGGGGAACAATGGCTCACCCGTCGTCTGAGAAATGGTTGGCTGAGCACTGGCCGGACCGAGGAAGGGAGGGGAAGGGAGTAAAACGGGAGTTGTTACTAGGATTGGGGCAGAGCCAGGCAGGGAAAAACGAACTGCTGATGGGGGCGCAGTCTGCTGAATGGGGGCGACTGGGTGGGGACGGGCGTCTCAAAGCTCCTTTCATGCTTGGTCTGGTTTAGCAAAGGCTGAAAACACGGAGGACACCAAGGTCCAGCTCTTGTTCGTGGCCGTCACATTTTCTCTGCACAGTATTAACATTTTCCGAATATTAAGAGTTTGTTTGAGGCTCATACAATGAAAAAATAACAATGTAAGAATAACCAGTAATGTAACGTAGCAGATTCAAAAAACAAAACCAAACAATCCAGGCGCTTTGAGGGAAATGATCAATGGAAATAAAAGCGTAAGATCTGACGGTGTAAGAGGAGCACAAGAGTGTCCTCCACCATCCCGCATAACTCCTGTGAGCCAGATTCAATAGAATATGGGGCCAAAATGTTTTCTTTTTCACTGTGTGTGAAATAAAAGCAGCCAAGTCCAACACGGCTGGAGAACAACTTGGCTCTGGGATTCAACAGTCCGGTGTCAGCCTGGCGACTCGCCTCTTTCGCCTAAATTCCCCACGATGATGTCCGGGAAACTGCTTTTGTGGCCAAGATGTGTCAGTCAGCCAGGCGGAAGGAAATGAGACGGGGAAAAAAAGTACACCATGTGGACAAGAAGCCCTTTCTTTGTTCCGCTTCTGTTCTTGTCTGTCTCGTGCCAAAAATTGGCGCGAAGGCTTGCTTTAGGGTTAGCGTACAAATTAGCAATTCAACGACTGAATGTGATCACTGTACTTTGGTGTGTGTTTCAGCGTGGGCCGATGTGGAGGTGACGATGCACAAGAACATCGAGGTGTACCTGGGTGACTCGGTCGAGATCCCTTGCCAGTACAAGTTCTACGAAGTCGACGGCGTTCCCAAATTTGTCATGATCCAGTGGTTTGTGGTGGTGAGTGGTGCCTGGAACAACACAAGCTCTCGTCTATGTGGGACTGTCCAACTGTGCAAGAAGGATTACGCTCATCTATTCACTTTCACTCAAGAGTGTGCCCTGAATATAATGAGCAACTCCAAACTAGACTGGACATATGTCTTCCCACCCATTGCCTACTTTTCATTATTTGAGGCCATTGGCCAAGGCTGTAAGCATTGAGCTGATACAGGCTACATAAACCATTGCTAGGCGCTCATTGGTCAAGTATTTTATACTTTATTTATTACTTCATTAACTGTCCATATGTGTTGCTACTGTATGTTTTTAAATATCAGTGGCTTAAATGTTTATGGACTACCGTAACATCAATGCTAGTTAGTTTCATTAACCCGTCCGATGACGTTTTACGTTTTGTGTTAGCATTAAGCTAGCTGACATTTATGCGGCAAAATGATGTGGTTCGGTTAAAATAAACAATGTCTTTTTTGAGACTGGTTCTTTTGGAACAATCTCAAGGTAACTCAACACACACACACACACACACACACACACAAAGTTAATTATGGTCCGATGTTTAGTCCCTTATCGATCATTGTTGTGTCACTATAATGTTTAAGGATACACAGATTTGAATTGACAACACTACACCGTTTAGCTCTGGACAGTGCGGTATTATTCTCCACCGTCACCACTTTGCTGTTGTTGTGCTCAGTTTTCTGCTTGCCATCAGGCTTTTCTTGGGTAAAGTGTTTCACCATCCAGATGTGAAGTTAATACAGCCTTATTTTCCTCCATGGTGACTGATTTTTTTTTTATTTTTTTTTTTTTAGTGTGTGTATCTGACCGATGTGTTCAATTCACCATGGTTTTTGCTGTTTTCCATATTGTTGCAATACGCTGTGACGTATCGAAACTTCGTCTGCAGAAGAACGCAGTCACCAGAGCACGGGCTCGCATCTACTACGGCGATGACCAACACCAAGTCGTGGATGGGGACACGGAGTACACTGGTCGTATCCAGATGACTACAGACCAGCACGGAACTAAGCTCACCATCAAGAAAGTGCAGCTGTCTGATCAGCGGAACTTCATCTGCTCGGTGAACGGCCTGTCCGATGGCACCATGGAGAGGAAGACTTACCTCAGCGTGTTTGGTGAGGAAGCACAGTGACAAGCCATTATGTTGAGAACAGCTGATATTTGCCGCGAGCTCAGTGAAATAGCTCAGTGGATTTTTTTCCAGCTCCTCCGGAAGCTCCGATCATCAAGGCTGTCCAAGCAGGAATATCTGTGACCAATGAGATGCCCTCTACGGTGAGTCAGGCCAGCATGAACCCCGCCAGCTTCACGGGGCTAGCCACCTTGATACTCAGTATATCTTTACATGCTTGTCACCGTGACTCTGCTTTAAGGTGGCCGCATGTCAGGCCCGGAACGGTTTTCCCCAATTCAACATCACCTGGTACAGGAACAACATTCCACTGGTGCCTTCAGCGGGACGTAAGTTAGGAAGCCAACGTTGGAACACTCCTGATGTCTGCAATTTGGAATTTGTCGCACCTAATCTCTGAGTTTGAACTGTCATAATATGGCAAGTATTTGGTCTACCCGGGTTATGATCTTGTTGACCCGGCAGCGTATGACTACGTCACATGGCACAAGTAGGCTCGCTCAGTTAGCACTGTTTGATTTGTTTGATGTATAAAACTCGATGTAAGCATGCTATGCAACTTTAGTCCTTAAAGTTTTTTTTTTATTTTTATTTATTTATTTTTTTTAATTCAAAAGGGGAAATTGTGACTGTGCTCCCGCAGGTGTGAAAGTGTGGACCGGTGAAACGGTGGAGTCAAGCGGCTTGTATTCGGCACACAGCACGCTGGAGTACAAGGTGCTCAAGGAGGACAAGGATGCTAACTTTTCCTGCGAGGTCAGCTTCTACGTGCCTGGCGCCATCAGGACCGTCGAGTCCATCAGCGTCGGCATCACCGTTCACTGTAAGTTGTATGCCACGGAGGCTGTGCGATGAACACACTGTCAATACAGTTGATACTTGACTGACACGCGCCCCAGCTGACGAGTTTTTCAGTTTACAAGCCAGGACTTGGTCAATTGTATCATGCCAGCTAAAATTTGAGTCGGAGGCGAGCTTCAGATACCCCGCCAAAAGTAGCCTGTCATTCAAAGTTCCATCTCAACAGTTTTCTGCCGTCAGGTTGTTGCCAAGTGTTCTGTACCACATATTTGAAGAGCCATATTGGCTTTGTGTTGGTCCATTGTTTTTGGAACAGTGACACAGTTGCGGTCGGAGCCAAACACAGTCGGTGCTGGCAGCCTCATGGAAATGATCTTGTTAATGGGACTTTACAAGCATGCTGAATCAGACTGTTTAACTTGACTGGGTGTGTGTATGTGCGCACGTCTCCATGCGTGTGTGCGCGTGTATGTGCGTGTGTGTGTGTGTGTGTGTGTGTGTGTGTGTGTGTGTGTGTGTGTGTGTGTGTGCGCGTGTGTGTGTGTGTGTGTGTGTGTGTGTGTGTGTGTGTGTGTGTGTGTGTGTGTGCGCGCGCCCGCACAGACCCAGTCACCATGGTGGAGCTGTGGAGGGAGTCGCCTGCGGGATTGATCAAGGAGGGGGATACTGTGGAGCTGCGTTGCCAGGGCGATGGCAACCCCACGCCGACCTTCATCTTCAGCAGGGCGCGAGTAAGAATAGAAGCCCTTCTCTCTGCCGAAAAAAGTCCCCCGAGATAGGACTGACATGCAAAAGACGCGCCGGGAATGTTTTTGATATGCAGAGCTGGCCGGACCCCCACGTAGACGTGAACATGCAAAGGTCTGCGGAGGCCTCGTCTGATTTGACCTTGCAGAGTCAGTCTGGGCTGTAAGACGCTGCTGACAGGGATCGGGGATGGAGCCGGTTCCCATGTCAAACACAAAACCATTGTGTTTGCTCTGGCAATTAGGTCATCATGACTTTCGGTGTGAAACTGTGAGAAACAGGAAGAACATTATCGAGCTGTGCACATTAATTACAGTGGAGCCTTAGAAGTTAATTACAGGGGTCAAATTTCTACACAGAGTGCATTGGAATGTTATGCTATGCATTGCTGAAAAATAATTTATACCAGAAGACACAATAGCCTGTAAATCCATCCATTTTTCTCAAGAATCTTATTGTGAAAGAGATTAATGACTCCTCCGGCCACTGAGTTTACCTGCCAGCATCTTTGAAATGTTGGTCAACTTTAGGCTAGCCAACAAAATGTGAAATCCATCTCTTGGTATGAGTGTGACAGTTCGAAATCTGTGCGGCAGGAAGACGGCGCGGATGAGGACTTGGACAGCCGCGGCAACGTCTTGATGCTGCAGGCGGTGTCACGCAGAGACCGCGGCCTCTACCGTTGCCGACTGCCGGATGGCACCTCCCACGATGATGTCAAAGGAGAGATGGAGCTCAACGTGCACTGTGAGAAAACAGCACACACACACACACACACACACACACACACACACACACACACACAGACAAGTGTCCAGGCTGTGCGACTAAATTAACATAATGTGTACTCAGAACTCATTCGCATTAATCACACAGACCACATCCAGCGGCGGTTGTTATCACATTATTAGAATGAAGGATTTCAATGGAAAACCTTTAAGACCGCCCTTATCTAACCCGACAGTGTGTCCCTCTGTCCTGTTGTGTGTGATGTGTTCAGACCTGGACCCTGCAGTGGTGGTACCCAAAGAATCTGAGGCCATGTTAAAAGGGGAATGTTTGACTGCATCGTGCAACGCTCTGTCTTCTCTGAAAACATCGATGGTCTGGTACAAGGTTTGTAAGTCTACATCATATTTCAAAGTAGTTCCTGGGGACGTTTATTGACTCAGCTATATACCGGAGGTCCAATAATGACGAGTGGACAATTTTGCAATAAGGTGAACTGGTTTTATCAGTATACAGCAAACCCCACTCCATTGCAATTTCCTGGATTTGGTACAGTGTGTGTGTGTGTGTGTGTGTGTGTGTGTGTGTGTGTGTGTGGGTGTGTGTGTGTGTGTGTGCGTGTGCGTGTGTGTGCAGGACAGCAAGGTAGTGGGTGAAGGAAACATGCTACACCTGCAGGACGCCACCTACGAAACGGCGGGCGAGTACGTGTGCGAGGTGACCGTTCCCGCCCTGCCCACCCTGCACACCAACGGCTCCGTCCACATCGTCGTTCACGGTCAGTCATCCCAAACACACCTCTGAAAAAGTCATGTCACACCGACCCCGTGCCACATACTTGTGTATCATTGCGGTCGTCTGTCTGCGTATTTGTGTGTGTGTACACAGGTGGTCCTCAGCTGGTGGGTGAGGAGCAGGAGGTGCATCTGAAAGCGGCAGTTGGCAAGACGGTCAACCTGAGCTGCGAGGCACGTGGCCACCCCGCACCCAGAATCACGTGGATCTTCGACGGTTGCCAGGTGACTCGGCGCCGCTTTCCAGAGGGGCAGATGTGCGATGACTACAATGAGTCATTTTGCCGCCCCGGCTTCTCTCATTCGCTCGACTGACATGCGCTTTCTCTCCACAGAATTGGCACGAGGTGTTCAGCAAGTCCGGCGACCACATGACCCACAGCGTGGTGTCTTTCGCCGTCGATTCGGACATCAGCGCCATCTGCAACACCTCCAACGACTTTGGCATTGACGTCAGAGCTTTCAACATCAAAGCCAGTAAGCGAGGTCTCACTCTGTATCACCAACTACCGATAGAACAAAGCATGGACTAACATAGACCTCATCCAAGCATCCATATTAAGCCATAAATTTTTGTAACATGTTCACCCCGGCACCCCAAAAATTACACACACACACACACACACACACACACACACACACGCACACACACACACACACACACACACACACACACACACACACACATATATATATATATATATATATATATATATCAAAAGTACATTTTTCATTATATGGCCCCTTTAAACACAGTTGAATCTCCAAAATTTAACCTAATTCTACAAAAGTTTATTTGTAACTTTTATCATCACCTGTAGATTGCCAGAAGATGGCAGCAAAGCAGTGATTGTCCTTAAATGAAAACTCCTCGACTCACCTCCACATAGTTCCTTGCCACCAAGGTGCCACGAGATGGCGACAAAAGCACAAACTTTTGTCCAAATGAAGCTCCTCAATTCACTTCAACTGAGTTGCTCGGCACCAAAGTCATTCTTTTACTCCTTTGACCATTTTGACCTTTGTCGGCGGACAATCGCAACATTGTGAGTGAAGCGTGAGACGAGTGTGTGAAGTAGCGTGTAAAATAAAGCGTGTTGTTCTACTTGTTCACAGTTCCCCTGGTCAGCTCCAGCACTCACTTCTCCCCTGGTAAGATAGTCGTACTGCTGACTTGCTCACTCATTTCATGGTCCGCTCACCAAAGCACTGTCTGTGTCCTCCTCCGCCTCCTCCTCCTCCTCATTTGACAGCGAGAGGCTTTGAGGACCTCCTCCATGCCTTATTGATGATCTCTCTTTCTGGGACTCTCGTCGGCTTCGCTAGCAGAGCCTTTCGGATGGCCCGCGGGCTGATTAAATATTCTCTTTTGCGTAGACAGAACTTCACAGCCCTTTGAATGACTGAGTGAAAATTCTCACTAATTATGGGATCTTATGAAGCAGCATGCGGTCGATTCGCACCTTTTGCAGCGCATGAAATCACCTAAAAAAAAAAATTCTGTCACATTTGTTTTTCCAAAGCGATTTTAGTTGCTGTGGAAATTGCTGACAGTACTTAATTCTAATCCAAGAAGAGATTTGATTGAGATCATGAAACCAAACCCTTACTCCCACTTGATTAGGCTCATTGGGTTGTTTTAAATGCAGAGACAAACAGCACAACCTCTGTGGGTTTTAGTCCATCTATTACTATTCATAAATTCAGTAAGTATACAAACTGCTGACGTGGATAGTTTTATTCGGGAAAAAGAAAGCATTCCAAGTTTGAAAATGCTCCCACAACACCCACGGTCCACATTAAAAAGGAAATTTTAATATATCTACTGCACTTTCCGACAATCAGTATTTCCGTTCTGTTTGTTTTGCCGCTCGATTTTTTTTTTTTTTTTTGCAGTTGTGTCAAAACTAGGGATGGGCATGATAATTAATCAATGATCAGTTTTTCAGCAAATGTGGCAGAAAGGAGAAAAGAGAATAAAATGCTCTTAGGAAGGAAAAAAATAATAATTCCAATTTCAGTCACTCTGAGATAAAGTGAAATGCCCATCCTAAGTTAAAAATATCATTTTGTTGCCAACAAATGCTACCGTTGGGAGACGAAATTGTGATTATGTGTGTGGTTCTTGTGTGTGTATTTTTCTAGCAGAGGGCAGTGGCGTGATCTTTGTGGTCATCATCCTGTGTCTGCTGCTGCTCGGCATCCTGGGCAGTGTGCTTTACTTCCTCCACAAGAAGGGCAAGATCCCGTGTGGGCGCTCAGGGAAGCAGGACATGTGAGTGGCTCACGTCTTAGGCAAGCCTGTCCCGGCCCTCGTCAGCGCGCTTGTAAAATGCTCCCCCCTGCCCTCCGTCAGCTCCAAAGAGAAGACCGCCAAAGATGACATCGTGATGGAGATGAAGGACAACGGCATTGCCAAGAGTGAGGACGCGGTGCTCCTCAACGCAGTCAATGGAGACAAAAATGGCACAAACGAGCAGGTAACTTTTTATTTTATTTTTAGGAGATTGAAGTTGTCAACTAAATACAAAAAAAATGTAGAAATGTCAGGGCACTACATTTCTAATTTAGTGGGGATAAAGATAAAAACTATGAAGATTTAGGAAAATGGATACTTTAAAAATGTTATGGAATATGACATGCGGAGAATAAAGTTGTAATTTGATGAGGAAAATCTTGTTCGTATTATCAGTATAAAGTCAGAAGTGAAACTGTTACAAAAATTGCCAAATGTTGCAATATTGCGAGAAAAAATATCTGACTGTTACCGGAGACACATTTATGAGAATATAATAGTAATTTAATGAGAATTAAAAAAATGTTTAAAAACGTTTACACTCGATTAACGTCACTGTGTGTGTTCATCCAGTGATGGTGTGCAAGAATCAGCAGTGGAGGAGCTGATCTGAGACCAGCAGGGACTCTAATCACACATTCCCACCATCATACACTTCAGTATTTCCACACACACACACACACACACACACACACACACACACAATCTTTTGAGTGAATGTTTTTCATTTTCTAAAAGTTCATCCATCGCTTGGCCTTTGTTTCATCATCACTTCACCATCAAAGTGTACATATTATATATATATTTTGTTATTTAAGATATTCACACACAAAATACACACACGCACACTCGTTTCACACTGCTGTCAAGCCCGTTTCTCCTTTTCCCTTCATACTGTTTGTAAATATGCCAGCGACTGATGCCGGGCGGATTTCAAAGAGGTTCGCGATCCGTTTTGCCCGGTTTTGTTTGTTTTTGAGATTTCTGCGGAATACACTGAATATGTTTGTATGTATTTTACTTGTGTTGTGTTCCACCAATTTTGCGTGTTTAAAATTGTTCACAAGCGTGCTTACATTTGTTCATAAGTGGTACTTTCATGACGGTACTTTTGAAGAGAAGATTTCAATTTGATGCAGGCAGACTGACGCCCCCGCTGGGCCCGTTTTGTGAATGTCAGGTAGCTCTTTTATTTTTTGGTGAATTTTTTTTTTTTTTAATAACTTCTTTCCACTGACATGCGATGATGTCGTGCTCTGCTGGGTTCCAGAAAACTGCACACCAGGGGAAACATTGTTCATATTTTGTGTTTTATTTCCCTCTACAAAAGAAGTGTGTAAATTAAGTGCGGTTTATGTGATTCTTTGACACTTGCGTTTTTTTTCAAATGTTTTTGCAAGAAAATGCCAAATAAAAAGTTTTTTTCAATCCGTTTATAAGTTTTTTAAAGCAGCCATTTTAAATCACGGCAGAATTTAGGATAAACGGTGTTGAAAAGGGATCGACGGATGGAGTTTAAATTCATTTTTAACATTTCATCACACGCATTTCCGAGCTGCTCCAGAACGCATCATTCAGGAGCTGTACACGCAGCAGGTGTTATGACATTCAGCAAACGAGGACGCTGCTCGGCGTAGCTGAGCTAAAGTTCAACAAACAAGTCATGTAAGTTCAGTCAAACTGTTACATGTTCATAATGTGCACAATTTATGACAAATATATTGGTATTTTAAGGTAAAATGGTCGTACATTCCCTGAAAAAAATGCCCGACTAGCTTTATGCTAACATCTGACTGATTCCTGAGGAAAAGACCATACCTAAAACTCTACATAAAACATAATATTAAAGATAATGATGATACAATAATAACGCAAGGAGTGTAAGAGTATAAAATAAGGGAGAAAATCGCGCAACTGTTGCAAAACAGTTCCAAATATTACCCAAAAATGCTGTGCACACTTTATGAAGGTTTTATGATGTCAATTCACTTGACATTATTTCCTAAAGGGGGGAAAAAGTGAAATGAGAGCAACTTGAAAGTCAACCAATGGCTCGTGTTCACTGTAAATAGTGAGGCACATTATTAGCAGTACCCTTGTTGTTTATTATTAGTCGTAACAACGTGGAGTTCTTGGCTAATGAACCTCCCAACGTTCTTTTCGACTTCATTATTCCTGCTTCCAATTTTATTGGCTGGCTCTTTTGGTTTTTATGCTTTGCAGCTGCAGCAGCTCGTCTAAAACCCGCTTTCCAACCAAGGAGTATCGCACTGAAAATTTTGGTGTTGTCATAATAATAATTATTATAACAACAATAATAAAAGCCAGATGTTTTGGTGTTAAGAGTTGCCCCTGAATGGCAAAATAAATACTACGCATAAAAAAATAAAACATGCTTGACCAAACTGCGACTTTCACGCTACCTCGCGATTGACCAGGTGTCTGCTACCCTCTTGTGGCAATACAGCGGCTTATACTGAGCACGACTGTCCTGTTTTTATTTACGACGGTCTTGACATACCCCACTTCATTTCGAAGATACGTACTAATTTGGGTTACGTCAACATCGTAGGAACTGTCGTAATGTGGGTTAGAACTCGTAAACCGACGACACCCTTACGTCACAATATACCAGTCATCTAATCAATTTATCCCAGGTAAATTGCCTTAGATGACGTCAGAAAAAAGTAATCGTGTGTAAGGATCAATCATCAGATCCTTGATCCCGCCCACCACAATTCAAAGTGAAATTTGATAACTTAATTTTAATATAGTTTAAACGTATACATTTCTGATACAATACCCCAAAATCGTTCAGTACAATTGTTCTAGATTTGTACTTATTTTAATAAATGTTTATATGATAATTACATTTTTTTAATCCCTTAAAAAACATCCATATGAAGTATATATCAATATATAAATCTTTAATACAGATACAAAGGAAACAAAAACGATCAGTGATAAAGTACTCGCACAACAAAGGTTTTAAAGAAAATACTGTTTAATTAAAAATCTTAATGGCTTGGGCATGAAAACATGGCAACACAACGAACGCCGAGGATATTAAAAAGACAATAAATAAATCATATTTACATGAAGACGGCAACAAAGCAGCAACAAACATTTTAGTAGGCGAGTTGTCATGAAAAAAAAAAGGCGAGTTAAAAGACTTATATTTCAGCATCCATTTTAAACGAGACCTTTCCTGTCTTGTAAATGAAGCTCGTTTGAGATGGCCAATCGAATGAGAGTGGGGGGTGGGGGAGCGTATCTTCCTTTAAAGACAGGCACGTAAAAGTTTCAAGACGGAAGATAAAGCGCTGATCATGCAAAGTCCCTCCAGTGGAGCTCCACCCCAAAAAATGTACCACCTTTAAAAGTCCTCCTTAAGGCCTTAAATGTTACATTTCATAACCTTAAGTCAATGTGCTAACACATAACGTCACATCAGTCCCAAGACAACAATTCTTTAGTACTAGCATTTAAGTATAGAGTCTTAATCTCTTTTCATATTAATACCATCTGTGACTACTGGAGGAAGAAAGTCTTCCAAAATGGCGAGCCAACCTGCCAAAAGGCACATTTACAGACGTTACTTAACAGACACCTGACGTGAGCCATCCAAGTAAATCCCATGCTAAAACGCTCCTCATCGGGACTGGAATGTGTTCGCTCTTCTTTCGTCTTAGCGTCTCGGTTAATGTTGGTGCTTTTTAGTCAGAAATGGTTCAAAGCTGCGAGAAGCTCAAGGCGAGGACAATAACGCTTGCGTGGTTGAGCGCTGAAACGACAAACTCGTCGTAGGGCTGAGTTGACATGTGCAATTAGGGATGGGCAAACACGAAGTAAAAGCGCGTGTGATGCTATCATTGTTGCCTGAAAGGGTTGCGCAATGATTAGAAACAGAAAGTAAAAGAAAATTGGTGCTGAACTGGGCTGCGGAAAAAAATGATGCAAAAGTGAAGTAGATGCTGTTGGTGCTTCAAACGGGCTGCGGAACAAATGGAAAAAGGGCTGTTTATATGCATATGGGCTGCAGAATGAACAGAAGCAGGAGGTAAAAGTAGATGGAGTGCACAAACAAATACGATTTGCTACGATTTAGCTCCAACGGCCCATCCCTATGTAGAACCACGGTCAAACTGTTCGTACGACATCATTATTAGTATTACTGTGACAAAGATTCATTTGGACCGCACGTGGCCACGTAAATGGTACGACACAAGCAGCTAGCGGCGGGGGGGGAGGTGTCACATTGAGTCGACATGGTCCCTTGAGTGGTTACGACGTACGCTTTCACGAACATTTGAAGGCTTTTGGGGTTTTCCGTGTGGGACAAAGCGTGAAAAGGTTCGGCGGCAACCGACAGCGCGAGAATGGCACGGGGCGGAGGGGGTCGCGGCGGGATTATGTGGCGATGTGCGCGGCCGAGGGCACGGACACAAACTCTCGTAGGATGTTCTTGGCCGTCTCCAGGTTGTTCCTGGCGATCAACAGCGCCTTCTGGATGTCCTGGATGGAATAGCCCTGAGACATCAGGCACTCAATCTCCCCGCTCAGCACCCCGCCGGCTGAGGGGGGCGGTGGCGTGTGCGAGGAGGAGGGTCGCGGTGGCTGCTCCAGCGAAGCTGAGGGGGGCTCGCGGTTCAGCGGCCGAGCCCGCCGGTCCGAATTGGCGCGGCGCGGGAGGGGTTTGGGTGGGCGCTCGGGGTCCACGCCAGTTGCATACAAACCTGCAATGGCACACACAAAAAAAAGAGGGGGGCGGGGGGAAAACACAAAGTAAAAGTGAATTTGATGCGATTGTTGCCATCTCATTGCTTAGATGAACAAATAGAAACAGGGAGTGAACGTGATGCCAAACGGAGACGCGGTTTAGTGTGTGGATGAGGCCACTTGTAGTGTCACGTACTGGCTTCTACGGCTCCGTCGATGCTAAGCGTGCTGAAGGCTTTGGAAGGACTGTTGACGTCCGCCAGAACCCGCCGGGCGGGCGCCGGGGGGACCAGCGGGCGAGGACAGTCGTACTCGTAAGTGTCCTCGAAGGAGCCTTCCATGGACTTGGCCTGGTAGACCGCCGAGGAGGAGTGCTGAGGACGCTCTGAAACGCACGCACGTAAAAACACACATTTATGTGCACAAATCAATCCACGTCCACACAAACGCACGGAAGGGCACAAATAAATGCATGAAGTCAAGCACACAGGAAGTTGAAACCATGTCCCTCAACACAGGAGAGGATGCCGGTGAAGTTAGCGATGGCGTAGAGCGGGGAGGCGTACCGTGATCGAGGACCTCCGAGGCAGCAGCCTGTGCCTGGATGTTACACATAGCCTCGTACACCTGAGGGTCCGCCGAGTCCACGTCGAGGCCGTCACCGCTGGAACCACAAGTGAATGACAAAATGCTCAATTTTTTTTTCTATTAGCCATTTGACACCTTATATTACATGAGTAATACCTTGCAGTCTGACAATAGTAATTGTGTTTTGACTACAATGCCGCCTTGTGGCTGTAAGATGTACCGCAAAATAAACACCACATCCCAAACATCAATTACATTTATAAATCTCCACTTTCCTATAACCAGAATTTTGGCGCAATCTTGTGGCTACAAAAAAAAAAAGTTAAAATAAATTACCTGACGTCATTGTGGTTTGCTTGACTGGGAGGTGGCGGCGGTGGCACCAAAGAGCCAGCGATGATCCACGGGGCGCCGGATGCCGGGAGGGAGGTGGGACTCATGTACTCGTTCTCTTCGCAGTCGGTGGGCAACTTCTCCCTGCTGGAAACGGCTGACGTTGGCAGCGACCTGAACAAATTTAAGTCCAAAACCCTTCACTGAAGCCCCGGTTATACACATTTCAGACGCACTTGCAATAGCGAGCTCTTCAAAACATACACACAGAAGGAAGTCGGTCAGCTATGAAGGCAAGAAAGAACTCATTCTTTTCAGCCTGCTTAGTTACCAGATCGTGAAATTTTGAATTAGGATGTTTGTCACCGGTGTAGTTTGCTTTTTCGTTTTTTTTTTTTTTTTTTTTTTAGCATGTTAGCGATTACGCATGATTTGAAACAGGACAATGGTGAGAATGTTATACCTGGCGGCCAGGCAGTAGATGGCGTTGGTGGCCACGTTGGGTTTGCCCGCCTCAGCGCCGCCGCTGGCACCGCCGCTCTGAGGTGTGGCGGGCAGCGCATTAGCGGGCGCCTTGCAGGCGGGCCGCGGCACCATATAGTTGGCGGCCCAAGCGGGCGTGTCGGGCGTAGAGGGCAGGGGTCTCCTCTGTAGCCTCGAGTCCGCCGCCACCAGGGAAGGGCGCTCCGGGGGAGGCGGCGGCGGGAGCTCTCGAAGTGCCGGGGGCAATGGGAGGGGCTTGTCCCTGTGTGTGGCCCCCATCTGCTTGCGGCAGAAAAAGACAAGGGAGGTTCTTTTTAAATTTAAACCCGGTTATGGGAGACTTCCAGAATTCCGGGCAAAGCTAATGAGTGGTTCCAGCAGTCCAAATGTTATTTTTTCCTTGAGCGGACAGTGTTTGGTAGGCTTGTACAAGACCTTAGCACAGGCTCCTTGGACCAGCTGGCTGTGTGAGTTCGAGGGTCTTTGCTGAAGGAGGTCCAGCCGGGGCGGGACGGGAGGCAGCTGGGACACGGGAGATGGCGGGCGCTCCACCTACACGCACACGCACGCAGATTTCATTCGAAGTGTGTGTTTTACAACTATAGTGGTCCTCCGACAAAAAAAAAAACCCAAACTTTTTGTGTAAAATGAAGCTCCTCAACTTAGTTCATCATCTCACAAGATGATGGCAAAGCACTTCTTTTGTCTAAACAACGCTCTTCATCTTACGCTCTTCCAGCTTACGTCGTCATAGTTCCTTGACCCCAAAGCGCCACAAGTAGGCGGAAAAGCACTACTTTTACCATAAAGAAGCCCCTCAACTTACTTCAACATAGTTTCTTGGTGCCAAGATGCCAGAGGAGGGCTACTTTTTTCTATTTTAACCCCCCCTCTGGTTTAAAATATCCAATGCCCCGCCCGCCTGAGCACAAACGTTTGCCCACCTTTGGAGTAAACGGAGCGCCACATATGGCGACCATATTGTGGTACCGCAGACTGAACATACCTTGCTGCAGGCCAGCCTGCTCATGACGAGGTTCTGGTCCTCCAGACGCTCGTCGTCATCCTCGTCGTTGGCGGCCGCCTCGGCTCGGCTGGCTCCCCCCTGGAAGCCGGCGAAAGCCCCCCCGCTGGCTTTGGGATGGAAGGGGTCCACCACGATGGGCTCGGTCCCTTTAATCTCACAGCGGCAGAAGGGGCAGCCCTGACCCTCTGAATCCTGATATCACACAAACAAACACACACGTTTGTTGACAAGAGGGGAAGGGTCGGGGGTCGTTTTCAGGAGGCACCATGTGCAGTCTCTCACCTGCCAGGCAGTCAGACAGGAAGTGCACATCAGGTGTCGGCACGGCTCGATCTTCACGTCCTTGTCGTTCTCGGCGCAGATCTTGCACAGCTGGAACGTGGAGCCCATCTCGCAGTACAACTCGTACTGCTCCTACAAAACCGAAGAGACTGCGTGTTGACCTCAGTGGCGCGCGCATGAGAGAGTTGTTCATGAGAAGCACCAACCTGGGTAACTTTGATGTGGTCTTGTGGAGAAGGTTCGCACAGGCCTGTTAGGTCTGGGTTCTGCGCACGGCCATCTGGGAAGAGGTAGCTGGCGAATACACAAACGGGGAGGCCAATCATTCAAAACATACATTGGTGGCTTGACTTACAAGTTTAATTTGTGATTGAAAACACTTGTATCTCAAACGATCTTTCATCATTGAAAGGAATGGAAATACTTTTAGAATTTGTGTTCATGTCAAAGACAACACCACAGTATTGTACTTTATAATCACATACTAATGCCCGTTGACATTGTGTCACTCCTTCCGGTGTGCATGCATTGGCCACGGGCAGTATGGTAGACACACCCACACAAAACCAACGAAGAAGACGTTTCCTAAGCTCAGTAAATTGCAGTAATATTGGAATTAAATGGAACACACCGGCTCAATACTTGACTTCCCATCCTGAGTTCAGCGCACGTGGACTAATTGGATGTCTTTGACTTTGCATAATGAATGAAAAAAAAAAAAGGTAAAGCAGTCTGACTCACAATCCCTCTCTGTAGCCATCGATGAGCGCTTGGAACAGAGGCTTGTTATGAGGGATGGTCTGCAGGATGTTGCCGTCCGCCGTCACGTAGCCGATGGCCCACTGGCCCAGCCGCGTGCAGCTTAGCCTGAAGATGTAGCTGAGGAGGCAGTCAGTGTACATTTGTCATGTATTTTTGCTTGTTAAAAAAAAAAAAAAAGGAGTATTAATATAAACACAGAAAAATAGGGCTGTTTAATTTTGGGGTGGAATTTCAAGATGAACCTAAAATGCACTTTATGGTCTTTACCTGCCAGGCTTGTGGATGAACCTGTGCAGGCGCGCCTTGACCTCGTCATACGTCAGGAAGGCCATGTAGCCCGGGTGTGTGACGGCAAGACTGTTCCAGTTCCGCAATAGAGATGACCACGGCTACGGAAACACGCATATCAACAGTAGGGAATGTTTGTGTGAAGAAATGAGGCACACGACCCTCAACATCAACCTCAACACTGCCGAACATCCTCTCGGTCAGTCAGCTGGGATGCTAATTGCCCTTCAAAACGGCTTGGCAGCTCGTCCTGGCTAACCTGGAAGAGCCTGGTGAAGATGTCGAACTCAAAGACGGAGATGTAGTCGTTGCAGGTGAGGTCGATGGTGGACTTGAGCGCCATGGCCTCCAGGCCCGAGCTGATAGGATGGAACTCGTGCAGCGCCTGGCGGAACGTCCTCCATGGCACAATGGTCCTACGGGGGCGGGGGACACACGACCACGATCAGAGTCCTCCCAACATGGACGCATCGTGGTTTTTGTGACACAAACTCACTTGTCCCCGAAGGAACGCCTCCAAAACTCGGCGGCGTCGGCTTTGGTGATGCGGAAGTTGTCCCCCTGGAACAGGCCGTTGGGGAAGATGGCTTTGAGCTCGGCCAGCATGTGACTGAAGATGAGCGACAGCTTGGTGAGGTTTCGCCTGTGGGAGGGGGGGAAGACGGACACTGACTCGATGATGTGCGGCGAACCTCTCAAAACAACCCCGATGGTGGCAGAGGACAACGATAGAAATCACATGACCTCATGAGGAGGAAGGACTGACTTTCGCTCTGTAATCACTTTGAGGACAAAGAGGGAAGTGGACGTGTTAATCAGAGATCTTTATCGGAGAATGGCCGCTCTTCTTGCTGCTGCTCGCTGCATTGCAACACTTTCATGGAAAACCAGACATCACACAATGCGTTTGATGTCGCTTTATACCCACGCATCACTCAAAGCGCAACATGCCTGAATCAGCCAGGATTGCGTACGGTCGGGTTAGCAAAAACAAACAACTGCGAAGCAAATGAGAGAGTGAGATTGTGACACTGACAAGCATCGATAGGGATGCCAATTATCTGTCAAAAATTATAATTTTCAGTATTGGGCAAGAATGTTACACTTGCTGTTTTCTGAGGGGCAAAAAAAAAAAAGCACAAATAATTCAGCTCCGTGAGCATCTAAAAAGGATTATTTTTGCCCGAGTACACATTTTACTGTTTCCATGATTTTCCTCTGGGGGAAAAAAAACCCACATTAGATAACCAACCTATAAACAACAATGATTCAGAAAGTTGGAACAAACTGTCATCTCTCTGTGCAAAAACTGGAATATGCAAATGAATATCTGACAAGGCTATGCTTCAGGCACATCTTTTTTTTTTCGTCGAAATACATCCTTCATTTGCATATTCATAATAGAGCTTTTGTAACTCGGTCGACACTCGTTCGATTGACTTCAGCAGAAATGTGTGAAATGTGTAACCTGTAACAACAGCCATTTGTTTGAAGTTGTGGTGGCAGATTGAACGTACAGACATAACGTGTTTGGTGATGTAAAACAAGATGTTGACGCTCACCTGGGCTGCGAGTTCTCCTCGTACATCCTCTCCTTGGCCTCCTTGAACAGGCTCATGGTCTGCTTCGTCTTGTTAGTCAGGTTGTCCATGACCACGCGGAAGTACTCGTTCTCGCCCAGCATGTCCATGCGGCTCTCGTAGCGTGACAGGATGGTACGCAGGTGCTGGTAGGTGTCAGGCAGCAGGTCCAGGATGTACGGTGGGCTGTTCTTCAGTGCCACCTTGGGGTTCTGGCACAAGCGCACCACCTGCATCGACAGGAATCACGAGCGCTCAATGGTGGCAGAGAACTTCAGCTCAGCAGAAAACAAAGAGACCAAACCACAAAATGTACAATGGCCCACTAGCTTCATGCTAACGCACAATGCAAAACGCCTTAGATCGGCTAATTCAACTAGCCTCAATATTACGGTAGTTACACGCAAACAGAATAACAACAAGCACAGGCATATATTCTTGATCCTCTGTGAAAAATGACGAATATTACATTTTTTTCATACTAAAAACACGTTACAAAAATGGTTTTGGTAATTGTTTTAGGAGTGTTTTGAGTTCCAAGCGTGGTCACGGAACAAACTAAACTCCTGATTTGAGGCACCACTGTATTCGGTTTTGCAACAATTTGCAAGTTAAATCAGTGGCCTGTTGTAAAACCTCCGTAATCCATCATGATGCTTTCTTGATATGAATCATGAGCTGCGGCATTTCAAAGTAGGTCGTCTGCTTATTAAAACCAGTGAGCAATAGTTTCAATTAGTTTTACCTTATTATATGGTCCAATGGGAAACCACGCAAAGTGGAGTAATTAGACTGCCTGTTCCAACGGTCACCAGCCTAAAACCTTCATTACCCGTAGCGATGTTTCAAGCAGGATTTTCCAATCATGTAAAATTGCTCACCCTTTCAAGGCGCCTCCACATTCAATGGAGATGTTTGTTATAAAACGTCTACAGACATTTTGATTTATGTGAGCGTCAACCTATCCATTTTCTACAGTGCTCGTCTTCATAGGGAGCCAATGCCAACTGGTTTTGGGCAAGAAGTGGGTAAACCTTGGATTTCTTTCTCCTTTTTTTCCCCTCCAAAGTTATTTAAGTGTTATTAATGCCCCTAGATACCGTTCATCCATTTGAGGTTGCATCTGATTGGTCAAAGTCAGATAAAAGCAGACAATTTGTTGCAATACTCATATTGCACGGGCCATTATCGCAATGACGATATTTTTTTCCCAGTCCACGTTTTTGTTTAACTCTTCCAGCACAGTTCTCCAGAAAGCTTTTTGGTTCATGAGCTTTGTTTACAACCTCATCCAAACTATTTTTTGATACAACCACATATACTCAATTCGAACTAAAGGGCAGCGGAAGTGAATGGGAGATTGTTGAATTTCGTGGCTTCATCAGTACTGTGGTTAAATTTGAGAACCCCGAAGAGGGAAGTGACAGTTGAAAGAAGCCGAGGCCGGTGTTTAACTCCGACAAGAAACGATGCTTACCTTATCCATGAGCTTCCAGCATTTCTCCACCATTTTCTTGTCCACCACGGCGGGCTGGTGGGGCTGCATGGGCTGCTGGTGGGGCTGAAAGGCGTCCTTCATCAAGCCGATGAGACCCGCGCCCCTCCTCGGATTTCCGGCCATTAATTCGCTCGGTCACCGGGGGTGGAGGGGGTGAGCCCGCTTGACAGCCTCGGGATGAATCCTCAATTCCTTTTTTCGACACTTACGGTACTCGCACCGCCTACCGCGATGGTTATCCGGTAAGCTTGGGGGTGGGTGGGAGAGAACACAAAGAAAGGGGAAGAAAAAGGCGCAGTGGAAACGATGCGATCGCGACGCTGCTAGCAACCGAGCTACATTGGAGGGGGGAGAAAAAGCCTCTCGGCGTTCCAAACGCGACATAAACGCCGCCGCGAGGCGGTGTCGGTCGCTTAACGACGACTTCTCGCGTCGAGTCGAAGCCGCCCCCCGGTGCCAGCCGAGCTAATAATAAACCGGCGGTGTGTTAATCAGCCGCACGGGGCGATCAACAAGCAGGTTCAGACCGAGAGCAGTTCAGTTTGCAGCCGATGAAAAGTCAGCCAGCAAAGCCAGACCAGACGCGGATATCCGTCTGACACCTCCAAAATAAAAAACGTGTCAAGTAGATGACACTGCTTGTCCTTTTGACTTGATGTGTAGTAACAGTTTCTCCACAGCTCAATTTACGAACGTTGGAGGTTACGAACAGCGAGTGAAGTAGTTTGCACAACCGCCTAAAAATAGTCGGCACTCTATGTGTTAAGGATTTAATGTGTATTTTCCACCCATTATCCAAACCGCTTACGCCATGGGGGGGAAACCCAAAACAAGCAATATGAAAAAAAATTCACACATATTCTGAAAATAAAGCTCAATATTGAGGAAATGGTGATACAGATAATGAGATCAATGAAAGACGATTTGGAAAATTACTGTTAAACAAGAACTACAAATTACTATCACAAATATTTGAGGGGAGGGGGTGGAATAGACGCAAAAATCAAAATGTCAAAATATTAGGACAGCGGCTCAGATAATGCATGGATAGTGCAAGAATACTGTCGCAGGAAAAGGCACACTTTGTTACGCTCTACTTCTGTTTTCCTTTTAATTGTTTTGTATTCATAGCCTTGCCTGTAAGTGTTTCTATGCAAATATTCGTATCATTATGACATTTCAAGGTTAAAAACAGTAAGCAAAAATACTTGCATTCTGATTGTACTGCATTAGTAAACTGTCAACAGAGGCGGCAAAGTACTCACACTCTGTCCTTACGTAGAGGCACAAATGTGCACAAAATTGACTGGTAAAAGTAGAAATACTGATTTGACTCCTTCACTTAATTCAAAGTCTAAAGTAAACAAGATGAATACAAATATGATTCAGGGTTATATACGGTGTGCAATGAACTAAAACCAGTTTTCATTCTTCCTGTCATGTTTGCAGGATGACTTCAAAGGGATATCACAATTTTACCCTAAAAATATGATTTCTATTGCACAAAGATGCGCAGAAGTGCTACTGTCTGGAAAGTCACATTAAGATAAAGGACAGAGATAGAAAAGGCGGAACTGGTTGAAAAGTTGAAAGAACAAGCTAAATGCAGAAGTCACAACATTTAACAGAGGTTTGCTGTCAGGGTAAAAGACAAATTCCATTTAATGACCCAAACTTTATTCTTTTGGTTCCTTTATTTAAATGAGAACTGCTATTATGTTAAAATATAATGTAACTTTAACAAGGGAACCGGCACTCTAGTTCTTCAAAAAAAATATGTCAGTGAAATGGTAATCAATTGTACATGCACAAAATTTGCATCAGTGCTGAATTCGGAATAATATTATTTGTGGAAAGATATGCTGAGTCAACTTCGTCCCTTCCTTGGTGCTGTTTGTACAGAACAGTGACATTAAAAAAAAAAAAAAATCTGAAAATCAGGAGAGTTATCTGAAAGGTCTAAATAGGAGCTCCATTGAAACTGGCAGCAATATTGAGAAGGTGAGCTCCCAGATCACCGTGCTGCCCACCGGGGAGGAACTCGGCCGAGAGCTCCCTGTAGGTGCTGCAAACTCTGCGCTCCTGAACATCCTTCCGGAGAATGCCGTGTTTCCAGCGATGCCGTGCCTCTCCGTACAACACTACTAAAGACCTGCGCGGCAGTGCCACCTCTACGTTCACTTCTCCCAAGAGTCCAAGCTGCTGGAGACCCTGTTCCAACGACATGGTCAGCGTTGTGTCCGACAGCATGTTGACAGTGACCAGGCGCTCCCCCCACAGCCAGGAGTCGTCCAGGTGAGGGTCAATAGCAGAGCCTCGCTGAGGGTGGTAGTCCAGATTGCATTGCTCCACAGGCTGGAAGCCTGCTAGACTTTTTTCTTGTTGCATTCGCAGCACTAGTTTTTTACTCAATGCAGGAAGTCCACTGAAATTGGCGGGACGCACTTTTCTCTTCTTGAAGTTCACTTTTGGGCCAAAATCCTGTAAAAACATAATTGCAATCACAATATTATTATCATATCAATAATGTTTGACAGCATTGTCTGTACCTGTTTCTTTCGACCTGATTGGGACAGATTCCAGGTGTCTTTGTCCATGCTGCTGATTAGCTCCTCTTCCTCCTCCTCTGATAGGAAGTCCTCCCACAGGAACACCCCGGGAAAGGGAAATGATGCGGGTTTGCCATCTTTGCGAACAGCGAGCTTTGTCTCGGGGTTGTACGAGTAAATATGTAGGATCTACATCGACATGGAAACAGTTGTTATGCTGGAAATGGTATATATTATAGTTGTAATGTAGAACTTGGCTGATTTCATTTATTTGCCGTGTTTGCAGAAAATGTCATCTTGCAGTCATCGCTTCCTTTTTCTGTAGATTAATAATTATTTTCACTTTTTAGTGTTTTTGTAGTTGGAGCTCTAATTTTTTGCATTCTTTATTTAGGGTTGAATGACCAAATCAATAACAATTAAAAAAAAACACTTTCAACAAAATTTTGGTACATTTGGCTATGAGTTTAAATTTAGGATGAGCCTAAAATTTTACGTGCAATACTGAACATGTAAAGTGTCCTTGGGTGTCTTGAAAGGCGCTTATAAAAAAAAAATATATATATATATATATATATATAACATTTTCAATATAACCAAAGACTCACAAGGAGCGACATTCCGCGTTTTTATGAATCCGTAATAACACGATGTCATTCGGATTGTTCGGTGAGGGCACCCGTAGCTCGCAAAATACGGGTAAATTGTTCTTGTGCTACTACAAATTACGTGAATTAATGACAATTTATTAACATATCAGTTTACCTTCTCTTCTGGAAAGTGATTTTCTTTAGAATTCTCACACAGAAGACAGCGCCGGACACCTTTACAAGCACATGAAGCAACAACTCTATCAGGAACCGTCATCGTACCTTTATCTTCTTCTATAAGATATTAGGGGCGCGCGCTTCAAACGAAGATAACTACTGCCATCTAACGGGTGGTTGCGGTGGATCGCCTAACACTAGGACTACCACTCTGAATGTCACTAAATAACTATTATCAATACAAAGAATTGAGTAGCATGTTTCCACTTAATAACGACGTATTTCATTATGTATTTAAGATACTTAAAAGCCAGTTTTGTTATTTTTCTTACCTAGTAAGTCAATAAAGTTTTCAATAACCTAAAGTACTTCCTCTCAAACTGCGGCTACAGGAAGTACGTCATTCGTACCCCGGGAAAGTTTCTGTTGTCTCGCGGAGTTCGTGACTGTGTGTGTATGTATGTATGTCCCGTAAGTAAATTTTAAGGTTTACATTACATAGTTTTGATTCAGAATGCAAATTTAGGCAAACTAGGACTCTCGTGTAACGTGACGAATTATAAATATGACGAATTACATCCTAAAATGGTCGTGGGGAGCTCACATTACAGTGCACGGTATTTTCCAGTGGTAGCAAAAGGGCTAGTTTTCCTCTCCAATAAATGCTTAAGTATACAGCGTTTAATATTTTATGGCCAATGTAGTGTGTTAACTGATTCCTTTTGTATCACGAGGATCCTTTTTTGAGTACTCACCGTGGGCGTGTTTACAGGGAAAAGACAACCCCAAGGTAAAATTAAAATGAGAGGATCAGAAGAAAGGGAGTAAATATCAGTTTTACCAGCTGGTTGTTCATCAAACATCAAATTTTGTTGGAATAACCAATATTTATCCATGTGCGTCAATAGACAGATTGTTTTATATTAAGAGGTAAAAGTTTACCACATGTTGTTGAACTGCACATGCCCAAACAGACACCATGTTTAACTTTTGATATTATTCTAAGTGTGTCAAATTGATTGTGGTATTAGGGTGTGGTTACGGCTCCTTCATCACACCTACAACCAAGAGACTGTTCTTTGTTCAATTTGATCTCGTCTTTTAAATGGTTTTCCGTGCTCTTTCACCACAGAAACAATGGCAACAATAACAGAGAAGACTCTACTGGAGAAAGGCTCTCCAAAAACCAAGAGACTCGAAGAGATCAAGACGCTGAAGTAAGCATATTGTATGATTTTATTTGCAGCCTTCCACCCCAATTCCTACCAAAACTAAGTTTTGATCCCTTTTGTAGTCTCTCCAAGCTCGGACTAAAATCTCCAGACTTGCCGGTTCAGCTGCTGTCCCGTCTTCAGTCCCTGGAGCGCTGGGATCTGTCTGGGAACAGACTGCATAAGTTTCCCAAAAACTTGGAGCTACCCAAGCTGCGCTTTCTGGACCTCAGCGACAACCAGATGGAGGACGTCACCTCCATGGCGTCTCTGTGCTGCCTGGAAGAGGTCAAGATGGAGGACAACCTTTATATCACTGTAAGGGAGGAAAAGAATGAGTTCATGCAAGACCAATTTGTGTGCAAAAGTAATGGGATACAGTTTCATAAATTGCTATTGAATTGACCTGGGAAATGAACATCCTTGCTGAAATGTGTGTGTAACTTCATCCATCACTCATTTTCATGACACTTTCTTTGATTCTAATAATGTTGTCTTTCACAGGTGAGTGACAATTACAAGCTAATGACATTGCTGCCCAAATTGCGGAGCTACAACGGCAAAGACATCACCAGCACCGCCAACCACGTCCGCTTTGTGTTCACGGAGAACCTGAGGACCAGGGTACGGAAACCTGGTGTCTTGTTAACCCGAGTGTGTGTCCAGTTCAAGAAGTCCACTGACAAAACTGTCTCTTAGATCATTGCCTTGTGGGGCAGGAGCTACAGCCTCCCAGATCCCGCCACGGTGGAGAAAATGGCCGACCTGGAGGAGGACTTTGTCAACACAGCACGGAAGGAGGTGAAATATGGACCCAGTTCGGTCAGCAGTTTCACAAAGTGGAAGGTAATGAAGTGGGATGTGAAAAATAGTAAACCAAACATTTGTTAAGGAGATGAAATTGTGGACTTTATTTGGTTGGTTCTTGTGCTATACTGCAGCTCGTCACCAGAGGGTGGACTAATACTTTGTTTGTCAAGCTGTGCCATGCAAGCATGTCATAGTAGTAATAGTTACCGAAGGGCCCCTAAATAACCAATTCATGGCATCCTACCTTTTGGCGCCCCTTCCTCCAGGAACTGCGACTTCAAGTTTTTCATTGTGTGTCTGTTAGGTTGAAATCATGGCCAGGGAGTATCTGCGCTCCCTCACGGAACCAAAGGAGGAAATGTCCAACAAAACCAATGTAAGACAAAAGTACAGTGATCACTATCTCACAGGTGATGGAGTAAATATAAATAATACATTGCAATGATTGATGCTTCGACAACAAATTAATTGAAGCAAAGGAAAGCTTGTTGTCTTGACAGAACTGAAAACTGTAACAATGAAAAAAAAAGAGGTCAAAAACTGCTTAATCCCGCTTTCTCAGCACTTTGCCTTACTTGTCCACTGCGACTGTGGAGTTCAGGGAGACATGTTTTCACTGTTGTGAAAGCGCTATATAAATAAAAATGCATTGCATTGTAAAATTGTCAGACATGTCATTGATGCTGTGCGCTTATCATCCAGGAGGTCCTAACCCCCACGAAAAGGAAGCAAACCCTACCAATGACAAACGATGACTTGCGACTGACCCCTCGTAAAAAGTCGCGCTGCGATCCATCCGCGCCCTCCTCGGCGGAGGACAGCCCTGGCAAACTGAGGCTCAGCCCGAGGAAAAGTCAGGCCGCCGCCGCCAGCGTTCCCGTCAGGCCCGCCACGAGGGCTCAGAATTCTTTGACACCGACACGTGCCTCCGTAAAGAAAGAGGCTGCTGACAAGCGAATGACACCGTCGAGAACAGCGGCGGTGGGTGCAGCGAAGGGTGGACTGAAGGAGGAGACGAGTGATGATGTGATGAAGAGCATCGACAAGACGCAGGTATCCAAGGACGGAAATTTATTTTTTTTTTTTTCTCCCCTCCATCTACTGTAAAGTTCCACTCTGGTGGTGCATGTTGACTGTTGTGCAGCCGGTGCGCCTGCAGCCTCTTCACGTCCTGCAGTGTCACAGCAAGCAGGACAACTCGGACGACTTCTCCACTCAGCTTTGGGCCTGTGCCTTTCAGCCGCAGCTTGGCGTCTCTGGTACTTGCACGAAAGATTCTCACTTGTCTGACTTGTATTGGGGCTGTGGCGATTAACGTTATCGCGCACGTGTGTGTGTGTGTGTGTGTTTCGCACAGGCGGTCATTTGGTTGCGACATGCGGCGGAGACTCTCTGTGCGTGATCGACTGCGAGACTGGCATGGTGATGAAGAAGTATAAAGTGACTGGGGAGGTTTGTCTCATCACACACTTGTTCACCTGGTTACTAGAATCGACCTCAGGCCAAGGAGGAGTGTTATTTTGAGTAGCTCCATTTGTTTTTCTACAAATTCCAGGCAAGGCATTTAAAAAAAAATATTTGTATTATGGGTAGGTCTGTGTTTCATTAGAATGTGGTGCCTTTTGAAATAAAAACAATATCTAAATGGGCGTCACTGCCGAACAAAAAGCCTGTATTTAAAAAAAAAAAATTGTATGTGGAAAAAGATGATAAAAAATGAATAATTTTGTAAGATCACATATTTCATGTGGTTAACATTTTCACATTTTGCACGTGTCCAACAAACGGCATGTACAAGCACTCTTTATTTGATTTTCAGTACGTATTCATTTATTTATTTTTTCATTAATTTCCAGTCCAGATTGCACACTGTGCGCACCAAATTATCAAATCCATGTAGGAAATGTATCGAAATCTATTTTCTGATTGTAATTCATATGTGGAGTCGGCCAACTTGCAATTCTGAAAGCATATAAAACCCCCAGTGACCTTGAAATTAAAAGCCCTTCATCTGCTCCAACTTACAAATGCTCATAATTGTATAATGCATGAATATAAACATGACGCCGTTAATTGGTCATCACAGGAGTTCTTCTCGCTGGCCTGGTCCACGGTACTGATGTCCCGAGGGGGCGGAGCCTCAGCACAGCCCTGCAGCATCCTGGCGGCGGGCGGAAAGCGAGGCCTGGTCAAGCTGATCCATCCCCGCTGCAACGTTGCCTACGGCGAGTTCCGGGCGAGCCGCAGGGCGCTGTCTGTCCTGCGCTTCAACCACCGCCAGGGCAATTTCCTTTTCAGTAAGCCGTCAGCATCACCTCAGCAAAATAAAAGCACCGTTTTACAAGAGGCGGATCTAAAAGGCAGCTCTGCTCATTTTACTTGCAGCGGGCTGTTACGACAACAAGATAGTGCTGTGGGACATCGGCGGGATAGACAGCAAATACAACTTTAAAGTTGTGTGAGTGATTATTATTATCATTTAAAAAAAAAATATATATATATATATATCCGACCATTGTTGATATCAAGTAACGTGTTGACAAGTCTTTTTTGTTCTCATATTTATCGCTTCCAGGCAGTTGCTGGTATTGGAGAGCAGCTGCACGCCGCTGCACATCTGCCTGCCACCCAGCAAGCCCGACGTGCACCTTCTGGCGGGGTGCGAGGACGGCCTGCACTGCTACAACACGAAGCTTGCGCCTAACAGCGCCACCAAGAGGTCGGTGTGAAAAGTTTGAAAGTCCCTCAGTGGTCAGCCCAAACACCCACCCCTCACATCTACTTTGCTTCGGAAGGTCTAAAGAAGCGGAGATAACCTTCCCTGTATACGAGAAGGAAGAAAAAGACCTCGATTACCATACGGTGGACGGCCTCTGTTTCCTCACTGATGCTATTGTCGGTGAGCGGACACTCGTTAGCCACATTGGATGTTATTAATGTGAATGTATGTGTTTATTGATAATGCTAATCTGCTAATTTTGTTGTCTTGGTGGTCAGCCTCCAAGAACTTCATGCACGACTGCATCTATTTGTGGAGCTGGAGCCGGACGCGATCTCAGCGGCCCAACAAGAGCGGCTGCGTGCGCGCCGTCGTGCTGGCCGAGCTGCGCTGGGCCCGCACGGAGATTCCTTACCTGGCGCTCAACACATGTCCCGGTAAGCTACTCCAATTGAAGTCGATAAGTAAAACTGCCTTTTATATTAATTCATGCCTCGATTTTAGCATTAAACTTTATATATATATATATATATATATATATAAAAGAAACATTGTGTTGAATAAATGTCATACTTTTTGCTGTAATACTGTATTGCTTGTGTTCGTCAACAAGTACACGGGAGGAGGACCTTGGGAAAATAATCCCCTGTTCAATCACAATAAAAAAACAATTGCAATTTGATTATTTTTCAAAATTGTTCAGCCTTCCTGTTTATGTAATCGTCAGGTTGTCTCAGTGTTTACACAGTATGAATGGAGCAGCGACATCAGTTGTTTGTGCTCTCTGTTACCCTCCAGGCCAGTTTACATGTTGACTTATTACAATTAAAGGACTATCCACAGTACATACAAATAAGTGCCAATGCATAATTTATTACATCATCGAAATAACTCGTCTGTGTCCCGTTAGGTCAATCGTACATCGTGTGCGGTGACGACAGAGGCAGGTTGTGGACGTACCACGTCACAAACCTCCAGGAGGACAACTTCCAGATGGGGAAGCCCATCGAACCCACGGAGGTAAGACAGAATAAAATGCCCTCACAGGGGCCGCGTTAACGCGTCAGCTCGTTCCGCCCAGGTGCTCCAGTGGCCCGCCGTCGTCCGCAAGGGTCTCGCCCAGGTGGAGGGCCCGTCCATCAACAGTGTGGCCATGGACCCCGGCCTCCAGTACCTGGTGGCCCTCAGTGACAAGAACATGGTGATGGTGTGGAAGAGGGCGCCGTGAGCAACTTAATACCACCTATTAATACTTCTTGAAATGTCCAGTAAGAGTACCCAATGTTCTTTGGGATCACTGGTGACATCATGTGGTGTAACATTAGTAGCCACTACTACAGTATGCAAACATGCATACCACCACAGCAAGTTGTTACACATTTGAGTCTTTTTTTTTTTTTAACTTGTTCTTCTCGTAATCTGACTACGAGATCCTTTTTGAAATATTTAAATCTTGTGCATCGTGCAATGTTATTCAGGAAATGATCACTGTGTGATGCATTGTCTTGATCATTTAGTCACTGTGCATTGTGAACATTTTAACATACTGTGTCATTTTCTGAAAACGGTCTGGCATTTTCATTAATGCAAATAAACTGCAAATTGGTTTATTTTGTATTTGTCTCATTTGGGATTCTCTAGTTTGGTTTAGTCACAGTAGTAGAGCTTAAAGCTGGATGCTGCAACCACAATAAGAAGCATTTTTCTTGAATGAATACTCTTTTTAGTGGGTGAAGGTATGACCACAACAAAAATAACCCAAACTCTGCTCCCACGACACAACAGAGGCGGGAGCATTTTTCCTCATGTTTTGCCATTTCAGTTACAAAATACTCCGAGGGCGTACTGAAGCTATGAAAAAAAAATACATGGATGTGATTATTATGTATATTATTAGCATTTGTGGCTAAATATGCTTTATCTGCGACTATATTGAATCATGTTTCATATTTACGTCAGTGTGCAATTTAATCTTAGTTTTTTTTTTCTTTGTGCCATATATACATAGCTGTTTAATATCTCTGCAGCTGTGTTAAAATAGTTCTGTGCTGGGAAATGTTGACCAGCACCTCTCCTTCCTTTTTGTTTGCTTGAGCATGCGTGAGGACTTAAGCCCCGCCCCCAACGTCCTGATTGGCACCGCTGTCGCCTGGTAAATCCTGCCCCACCTTCCCTCCTTCTCCACTTCTCAACCTTACTAAAGGCCAATACTCGCCTTCCTTACGCCAGTACTCACTGTACTGGAAGCAACCCGTACGTGCCTTTGTGCACGGTGGCTGCCGCGACCTCCTGATGGCTTCATAGTAAGCCGGGCCGAACTCCCCCTCACATACACCTCTCCGAACGGGAACAGGGCCGCCTGGGACTCGCCGCGGAGATGCTGAGCGGTACAGCCGGTCGGGCAAGGACGAGGCTGGGTAGCCTCTTCCTCGCGCCCGCTACCACAATGGCCCCACTACTACCAGCACCACTAGTACCATTAGCGCCGCCGTTGATGTCAAACGCGTGCGGCCGCCGGCTGAGGTCCACGTCCTCCTCCCTGCAGGGCTTCTCCGAACTGGCCCGAGAGCGGTCCAAGACGGTGACGTCGTTTTACAACCAGTCGGCTATTGACATCTCCGCGGAGAAGGTGAGCATGGCTTTATGTGGGTTTACGTCGAAAAGCACGGTAGCAGCGGCGCTAACTGCTAGCTGGAAGTCAGCTGCGTTCACTGACACTCATATTTTAATGACCTTCTTACGTAGTTTACCTCAACCTCCCATATAGCCCTTGACTAAAACACATTTAAAAATGATTAACATCTCTGATTCTGTTATCTTCTGTTATCAACGACTAAAGTAATCTTTTTTCTTGATCATGGCATCGATGCAATCAATGAAATGCTGGCGGCGGCGCGGCTAACAACTCACGCTCGGCTTTTCACATCCAACGGCAGACTTTCCCGTTCATTATCTGCTTCCTTTGTCGTCTCTTTCTTTAAAGTTGCTTTTGTGGACTACTTTTTCTTTTATTGGATGTATGCTTGTCAAATAGGTCGGACACTTGCAGAACGATGACAAGCGTGGGTTGTTCTCAGCGTGACCGATTTTTGCTACAAGGCCCTGAACGCAGCAGGATGTATTTGTGCCTCTTGCAAGGAGTTTTTTTGATGTGCATCTTTTGTCCCGATCAAAAATAACTTGCTCACCGCGATTGCTTCACTGTGAAACCGCTGTTCTCGTTCAAGACTTTTGGATAAGTGAAAACTCCAAAGTAATCGACGCAGACTAAAAAGGTTTACAGTTGCCTATAGATGCCACAATAAAGCACTATTTCTGACTACACGAATCTCCCCAACTCACTGCGACGTAGTTCTTTGACCCAAGATGCTGCAAATGGCAAAAACGTGGTTTCCATGGCACCAAAATGGCGGCAAAGTAAGATTTCTATTGCTTTGGCCTGAGCACAACACAGCGAAGAGTTAATTGTCCCCAAGGAATAATGGACAAGAGCCCCCTCCCTTTTTAAAAAAAAAAAAAGCAGTGAATAGGTGAGGGGAGCAGAAGGAATTATCGTCCTGACAGTGTGCTTTTTGCCCTACTTATCAACAAACATGGTCAATGTTCAAGTAAAGCTTAATATTTCACTGACTGTCATTTTAAAGTCCACTTATGAAATGTTTCTCATCCCAAAAAAGTCTTGAGTGTCCGACTCCAATTTGTCGCTTTTATGTGCATTTCAATTGTGCACACTTTCCAAGGAGTTGTTCTGTTTCAGCGTCGCAAATAAGCGACTCGAGGACGCACGTGAGTCCAGAAAGAGAAAACATTTCGGGAAAAAAGGGGCGTTTTTATGCATGCTACGCTGTTGCCAGAACTGCCAGATGTGCATAAATCAACAGCTAGCTGCCTTCTTGTGCGTCTTTTTTTTTTCTCCAAGAACTGCAATAGTAATTTATTCAACTCCATATGCAGCTTTGTTTTCACGACTTTTATTGCGTCACGACACAGATTTTACACTAGAAAAATGTCACCAAATGTATATTGTTCATTGAAATATATGATCAATTTCATAGGTCACTTTGCATATCGCAACAACTTAAATGTTCTGTCTGTCTGATTCATTGACGTCACACTTAATTTTATTATTATATTATTTTTTATGTTGAGTCATCAGGATTTGATGTTGACTTGATGTGTCTTCCAGGCCTCGGTGCGACTTACCTTAGCCACTTTGCTGTATGCGGGCAAGTCCCCAGACGGCCACCACATCCTGGTAAGGACACAAAGGGCGCACACACACACACACACACACACACACACACACACACACACACACACACACACAGGGTCTTCCATTTAAACTTTTTCTGATTTTCCCAGAGCAGCGCCAAGTACCTGCACAAGGAGCTCCCCGTGCGCATCGCCCACCGCATCAAGGGCTTCCGCAGCCTGCCCTTCATCATCGGATGCAATCCCACCATCCTGCAAGTGGTAGGCCAACATAAACACACACATGCACACACCTGACAGTGTCCCGAAACCTAACCCTTACCCCGAACTCTAACCCTAAATCCTAACTCCCTAACACGATCACCCCTAACCCTAAACCCCCCCACAACCCTCAACCCGAAGGCTAAACCCCAACCCTAACCCTATCCTCCAACCCTAAACCCTCCATCTTTAGTCACCATTTAAACGTCACCGCCTATTTCTACATCTGCTACTTCAAACTACAAACGCGTGCAAAACAAATCCGTTGCCAACTTTTGTCAACAGCTCTGAGGTGTTTGTCTCTTTTAGCTTTGTGGTTTCGTGTCCTCTTTATTGCGCTGTACACATGCCACGAGGGTTTAATTAAACGCACCTTCCTCAGAAGTTGTCCCCTATCATACGGAGCGTTGATGATGATTCATGTATGAAAACAATGTACGAATCAAGTCGCTTTCTCTTTTGAAGCGGGATGCCTTCAGCGAACAAAATGTTTTCCTCTCGTCAGCAACGTGTGGCCTCTGCCTCTTCTCTTTTTTTCTTTTTTTTTCACCCCAGATGAACTTTCCCCCACATTCTTCCTTCCCTCATAGCACAATACACTCCTTGGCTGCCTCACTCCACACCAACCCAACTTTGTTGAGTCAACACGTGACTTCGTTATCCAAGTATGATTTGCGTTGTAGTGTAAAAGGAAGGAACTTGTATCACGTTTGGTCACGTGCGAGGCCCACCGAGGGGCTTTTCTGCTCACAGTCGCGGAGCCTCTTCATACTCTTCTTTCTCTTCTTCCAGCATGAACTCTACATCAGAGCGTACCACATGCTCAGCGACTTCCCCCCTGTAAGTAAAGCGCACACACACGCCCGCTCACAAGTCTGTGTAAGTGTAAACTCTCACGGGGTCACGCTCAAGTTCAAGTTCCCCATAGGCTTACTGTCAAAAGGCCACTTCAGAGCTATGAGAGGAGATTCGCTTTTGCCGCAATCATATGCAAGTTTTTGGATGACATCGCGTCTGCTGTGACGCATTCGATTCCTTAGTTGCCAAATCCGCAACACAACCGTGCCGGAAAAGTGGTGTGTCATCTTTTAATTCCAGCTTTGAGGCGTGTCATTTTGTTTTCCACTGTTGTTTCGAAAGATACATGGAGGATTTTTTTTTTTCTGATGCCGATTCCGATAAATGATGACATGATATATTCACAAAAACAAAACAAAACAAAACAAAACAGTATATAATGAATAAAATGCTGACGTGGCCGTTGGCAGATCAAGGATCAAGACGTGGAAGCTCGCTTCTGCAAGCTGGTGCAGCAGCTGCTGGACGACCACAAGGACGTGGTTACCATGTTGGCTCAGGGATTCCGGGAATGTCGCAAGCACATTCAAGTAAGACCAACAAACGCCTCGCTATTACGATTACCGCTGTTTGTTATTCATTTTATTGTGATTATTTTTAAGACCTCTTTTCTTCTCGGTCATTCCAGGACGAGATTATACTCCGCAGTTTCCTGGACACCACGTTGTGCTCCCGTCTGGGAATACGGATGTTGGCCACGCATCACCTCGCCCTGCACGAAGACAACGTACGTCTGAGCGTTACGGCGATCGCCTTCCTTCGTCAACTAACTGACATGACGAAATTTGCAGGCTTTTCTCATTGAAAAATTGCATTCCACTAAATGGCGATGGCGATTTTCCACCTTATGCTCACGTTGTGCTTGCAGGCCGACTTCGTGGGCATCATCTGCAGACGTTTGTCCCCCAAGAAGATCATCGAGAAGTGGGTGGACTTTGCCAGGTGAGCGATTATTGAGCTCCGTTTGATTGAGGGCTCCAGCTGATAACTTTGTTTGTTTTGGCTCACCTGCAGCTGTTCGGCACACACGCGCACAAGATACACTTTCCGCGGGGTTATCACTTTTGCGTTGCTGCTGTGTCAGCTTATCACTTTGACCCGGTCGTGTGTTTGCGCGTGTCAGCCAAGCACACTTGTGTAGGTGTGTGTGGGGAGAGTAGCTGCTCATCTTCAAGCGTGTGCGCGTGTGCGTGTGCGTGCATGCAGGCGTCTGTGCGAGCACCAGTACGGCAACTCTCCGAGAGTTCGCATCAACGGCCACGTGGCGGCGCGCTTCCCCTTTATCCCGCTGCCGCTCGATTACATCCTGCCCGAGCTGCTCAAGAACGCCATGAGGTACACGCACACCCACAGACACATAATATCAAAAGGTCAGCTAATCCACTTTTTCAGTGTCAGTAACCCCCTCGTCCAGCCCCCCCCCCCAAAAAAAACCAAACAAAAAAAAAAACTAGCAGGACCTTTATTTAATGACTGAATACTTTTTATTTTTTTTTTTTAAGAAAAGTAATTTTAAAAATGCTTATTTGTCATCAAGGTTTTTATTGTTGACGAAAATTAATGGCACATAAAGGCAATCATTCACATTGTCACTGAGTGGGAATCGATCCCACGCTGCCCACCACACTCGAGTGTACCACTCCACAATCAGCGACTCAAACAAGTATAGTACTATAGCATCCTATTTTCTTGAAGGAAAAAAAAAATATTGCATTTTTATTCATTGTAATGCAGAAAGATCACTTTATGTGCATGTTTTGTGTTCTGGAACAAATGAAAGTCGGCACCCTTTTAACAGTCAGCTGACGTTCGGTCCATCTTAAGGCGGTCCGTGACATGTGCTGTGCGTCGTCATCAGGGCCACCATGGAGAGCCACTTGGACACACCTTACAACGTCCCCGACGTGGTGGTCACCATTGCCAACAATGACACCGACTTCGTCATCAGGTCAGTCGCCTCTCGCCGAGTGCCGGGCCGCCAAGACCCTCCACGATGTGACTTATTTTTTTTTTCTGTCTGCAGGATTTCGGACCGTGGTGGTGGCATCCCGCACAGGATCATCGACAAGGTGATGGATTACCACTTCAGCACGGCCGAGGAGAGCGCGCAGGACCCTCGCATGAACAACTTCTTCAACAACATCACCAACAGCGGGAACCATTCGGGACCCATGCACGGGTAAGCACCAGTGATGAAAAACTCAATGCCACAGGGAGGATCACTGTAAGTCTGAAAAATTCAGTTTATCTGTAGTCAGTCTGAATTACAATACATGTTTAGTTTTTTTGCTTAAAAATGGCAGACTATACATCAGTGTTTTTTGGGGAGCTAAAAACACCTTACTATACATGGTCGTTTTTTTCAGCTAAAAACGCCTTAGTATACATGGTCGTTTTTTTCGTCTTAAAACGCCTTAGTATAACGGTCGTTTTTTTTTGGGCTAAAAACGCCTTACTATACATGGTCGTTTTTTTGGGGCGAAAAATGCCTTACTTTTCATGGTCGTTTTTTTCAGCTAAAAACGCCTTACTTATACATGGTCGTTTTTTTTCGTCTAAAAACGCCTTAGTATAGATGGTCGTTTTTTTCGTCTAAAACGCCTTACTATATATGGTCGTTTTTTTCGTCTAAAAACGCCTTAGTATAATGGTGTTTTTTTTTTTTTTTTTGGCTAAAAACACCTTACTATACATGGTCGTTTTTTTGGGGCGAAAAACGCCTTACTATACATGGTCGGTTTTTTCACTTAAAACGCCTTACTATGCATGGTTGTTTTTTTCGGCTAAAAACACCTTACTATACATGGTCATTTTTTTTTTCACTTAAAAATGCCTTACTATACATGGTCGATTTTTGGGGCTAAAAACGCCTTACTATACACGTCGTTTTGGGGGGCTAAAAACGCCTTACTATACGTTGTCGTTTTTTTTTCCCCATTTAAAAACACCTTACTGGTCATTTTTTTCGGATATTTTATTGATTTTATTTTTGGGGGTTTCAGGTTCGGTTTCGGGCTGCCGACATCACGGGCGTACGCTGAGTACCTCGGGGGTTCGCTGTCCATCCAGTCGATGCAGGGCATCGGCACCGACGTCTACCTGCGTCTGCGCCACATCGACGGAAAGGCCGAAAGCTTCAGAGTTTGACTCCTCCTCCGCCACGCCGGCCTTCACGACTCCCCAAATTCTTTGCTCCTTTGTTTTTAGCCACCTTTGTTTCTTTATTTTTTTTTTACAGAAGCGTGGAGCTGCCAATGTGGAGCAAATATATATAATAATGTGGACCACACCCATACTCGTGAGTACGTTTGAACCTATTTAAATACCTTCGAACGAACTCACAAAAACATTTGATTAGGCTAAATGTGACAAATGTAGCATTTTCCCATAACGCCACGGGATATTGACTTTTGCTAGCGTATTTTTAGCATTTGACCTGCATTATACTTGCAAGTGCTACATTTGTAGCATTCAGCCTATAAATACATTTGTTTGAACATACGAGTACTTTTGAAAGTATTTGCCAGTCAAAATATTTTTACTCCACATTGGCAGCTCCACACTTCCGTAGTTTTTGCCTTAGACCGGGGGTCGGCAACTGCGGCTATTTGGCGACATCTAGTGGCTCCCTGGAGCTTTATGAAAAATGTTTGAAAATGAAAAAAGATTTTGATAGTAGGCTAATATAGCTCAAATAGATATAGATACATGTTGCAGCTCCGAAAAAGGAGAGCTGTGGTGTTGTTTTTTAAAAACGTACACTTTATTTATGCTTTTAACAGTCTCAACAAACACACACGTCTGCGTCCGACTCCGTACCTTCTCTCTTCTCGTTCGACTCGAGAGGCGTTCAAAGACAGCCTCAGAAAAACGGAAATTAATGATCACTTCACTGACACTAAGAAAAGCGAAAATAATGCACCAAAACAAAAAATCAAGCGAGCAAATCACAAAATAAATTCTATGGGGGCGTTTGTGAACACACAACAAAGGAATGAGTAACAAAAAAATTCTGAGACAGTCCAGTCTCCTACATACATACAGCATGTGTTTCCTTCATTGTAAGTTTTATAGAATTTTTTTGCGGCTCCAGACATATTTGTTTTTTTTTTGTTTTTTTTTTTTTCCTATATGGCTCTTTCAACATTCTGGGTTGCCGACCCCTGCCTTAGACGGATTATAAGCTATGTTAGCTCACAAGTTGAGGACTTGACTCATTTTCCCTCCCCCTCCCCACCCGCCGTAGCCTTTTTTTGGATTTGTTTATTGGGACAAACTGTGCATGATGGCCATGATTACAAAAAAAAAAAAGTGACTGGAAATGAAGACACTCCAGGAAGGAAGAAAGATGAAGGATCAAGTCAGTTGCCATAAAAAAAAAAAAAAAAAAGTTCTTTTTTTTTTTTTTGACTGGTAGATTTTTAGGCTGGTGGGACAACTTTTTGCCTTTTTCACTGCGACGTTCCTCACTTTGTTCTTCGTTGCCTTTGTCGCTTTCCACCCTGTACTTTGACTTATTGCTATGTTAGAGTAGCATAACCGCACAAGTATTTTGGACTTTTGTCTTTTTGTTTGAATTAAAATTGTGCTTCTTTCATGATTTTTGTCACACAAGAATCCATCAGCCAGACTAGCGGCGACTGGACTTTGAAGTGCTCTGATGCTGGTGGACAATTTTTACCGTTCACTTGATTTAAGCATCTGGTTGTTTGACATTTTGCAGCTAAATGGGCGTGTTCCATTTGTCAACATTGTTCCATTAACCTTTTTATGCTAAACGCTGCTTTTAATTGATTATGAACTGGTGGATGACAATTTTTACGGTTTCAAACAATCGTGTGAAAATACGCAGTTAAAATGCACGTGAGAGATGATAAGCTCATAAGTCAACTGAAACTGAGGCGAGTGCGCTATCTGCCGGTTAAAACAAACACCAGCTGACTGAAAGAAATGTTTTGAAGTGCATCCATTTATTTAGTTTTTAAGTGCTGGTCGTTCATTTTTAGTACATTGTGCCCCATGGATAATTAAGGATTCACAATGACAACAAAACTAGGCATTGCCAGCAGAAAGAGGATTCATGACTATTTTAGTTACTATTTGAATGACTCATGACCTCTTGTGTTGTTCTCGATATTAAAACTTTTTATTGTTTGGACCTGTGTCTCATTGTCATTAACTTTGTTGAAAGAGTATTGGATTTTATATCGGCGTCATCATGATCCGCCAATCAGTATCCGGCATCCTATTCCAGTTATGACCCCCAGATCATGTCATGGTCGTTTTTTTCGGTTAAAAACGCCTTATGAAAAATGGTTGGCTTTTTTTCGGCTAAAAATGCCTGACTATACATGGTGTTTTTTTTCAGCGAAAAACGGCTCTCTATACATGGTCGTTTTTTTTGGCTAAAAATTTCGGCTAAAAACGCCTTACTATACATGGTTGTTCTTTTTCGGCTAAAAACGCCTTACTATACATGGGTGTTTTTTTTGGCTAAAAAAAGTTTCTATACATAGTTGTTTTTTTTCGGCTAAAAACGCCTTACTATACATGGTCGTTTTTTTTTGGGCTAAAAAGGCCTTACTATAGATGGTCGTTTTTTTCGGCTAAAAACGCCTTACTTCACATGGTCGTTTTTTTTTGGGCTAAAAAGGCCTTACTAAAGATGGTCGTTTTTTTCGGCTAAAAACGCCTTACTTCACATGGTCGTTTTTTTTTTTGGGCTAAAAAGGCCTTACTATAGATGGTCGTTTTTTTCGGCTAAAAACGCCTTACTTCACATGGTCGTTTTTTTTTTTGGGCTAAAAAGGCCTTACTATAGATGGTCGTTTTTTTCGGCTAAAAACGCCTTACTTCACATGGTCGTTTTTTTGGGCTAAAAACGCCTTACTATACATGGTCGTTTTTTT